GAAATACGAATAGGAGAGAGAACGTTCGTAGCATTCTCCTCTCCTCCTCTCTTCTCTCTCTCTCTCTCTCTCTCTCTCTCTCTCTCTCTCTACGTGCATCATACACACGCGTATCGTTCCGATATGTACGACACAATATGTGATTGTCGAGAAGCCATGGATCCAGAGTATCGTGGGAACGTTTGCGCGTTAACGACGCGTGTCAACGGCCGTTTGAAGGGGCGAGACGCGTGCACAGGACACGTGCTAACGTTGGATAAGGGTGGCCACCCTCTGCCATTTTTCTGGGAATTGTTCTCGAGTCGATTCCCATCGAACGAAATCCCCCTCGACTTTTCCGACACGCGACGATTACGGAACTTACCAGAAGGAAGTAAATCGGTTGAGGTTAGGTCGCGGTAGAATTTGGAACAATTGGGATACTAATTCTTTCGAAATATATACATAAGTGATTAGTTATTTTAATTGGTTTTTTATTTTGTGATTATTTTATTTGCACGTGAAAATTAAATTTTTTTTTTTGAAATCGAATTATACGTATATTTTTGATACATCAATTGACATGTAATAAATTAATATTAATTTAATTATTTGAATTTTATAATTTTTTTGTGAGTGCATGGAGATTAAATTTGTTTCTTTCAAATGGGTGTTTTCGTGTAAAAATGATTAGTTCGGTCGTTTCGAATTTTTTTCGCGAGAGAGAAAGGGAGAAATCCGAATAATAATTTATAGAGGAGGAAGAGTTATATTCGAAAAAAAAACAAGGATGGAATGAAAAAAAGATTTCTTGAAAATTCCTTTTATGCAGCGGATGCAGAAGGAGACGAGTTTCCACGCGGAGATTTCTTGTCACCGGGGACAGCAGTGGAGAGGCGGAGAGATAATTGGCAGAAACGAAAGCAGGTGTCGGTCCTGTTTATCTTCGCGCCTCGAGAACCCGGTCCCCGTTAAATCGGTGTCGTTAAACGTTCGAGGAGATGTTTCGACTTTCGTGCACGACTAATTGCACGATCGTAAACGTCGTGAAAGTTTGACCGATTTGCGAGAAAAAGCCCTTAAAACATCTCCTTCTTTCGCTTTCTTTCGAAATTCGCCAAGCGAAATTCCACGAGGAATTCGTTTCATAGACGCGTTTGTCGATTGGAAAAATTATTTTTGAAAAATATGCATGATTGATTTGAGTTAACTTTAAATTCAGAGATATGATATCGTACAAAGATATAGATAGGTAGATATGGAAATGTTTTGATTGAAAAAATTATTTTTGACCTCGAATTTTAATTAAAGAAAGAAAATTGTAATTAGGGAAAATCGATAAATCAAATTCGAGATATTGCTCTTTATGAGAAAATAAAAATGGAACTCGTAAATAATAAAAATATCGTAACGATCAAATTATCTTGATTACTCGTTGCTCGTTTACAGCCATCCCTACATGCGTTTCTCGGTTAACAAAACCTCGACTCGTTGCAAACCTTCACTCACGAAAAATTCTATTATCTCTCTCTCTCTCTCTCTCTTTCTTGGAGAGAAAGAAAAAATCGATATCTCGAAAAAAGCTCGAAAGCTCGATAAATCGTGTATTTTAACAATTGTGAGAATTTTGGGATGGGGGAAGGCATCCGGAGAATGGGCGCGAGATAATATATAAATCGGTCAAGTTTGGCTCGCTTTGGAGGGCTCCCGTGGCCGTTTTACACGGCAATTAACGGGCCAGGCACACCCACCACTCATTAAGCCTCGGCTCTCGATGCCAATTTGCCGCCTCGTTGCCGCCGTGCACGCACGCCACTCGCTCGATTCGGTTTCAAGGCCTCTTCCCATCTTTTCCATTTTCTTCTTTTTCTTTAGCAGATTCGTTTATTTTGAAATTGTTGAATCCCTCGTGATCTACTATCTATTCTCCACTCTTTGTAAACGATATAATACAAACAATTTTTTAATATAATAACATTTTTAACATCTACTCTTTACAATAGCAATACCTTATTAAGTAGCCCTATTTCCTTCTTTCCTCCATCGGTAATCAAACGAATAATTACGAGATACGATATATGTATATATATATATATATATATATATATATATATATATA